GGATCTTCCCAGGGTCTCTGGTCCATGGGATTTAAAATTATGAGTTTGGTGGTCCCTGAGGTCCAAAAGGTTGGTGACCCCTGACCTGGATGATTGAGAATCTCCACGGAGACTTGTGGGGAATGAAAATGTGCCTCCAACAAGATTAGCGAAAATGTATCCAAACCGATCGGCGGAACGCTGGAGATGCAAGCATAAACAAGGAACATTCTTTCACATGTGGTGGACGTGCACAGAAACTAGGAAATATTGGACTAAAGTAAAGAAATGGCTTGAGGAAATGACGAAACAAAGAACTGAGCTGAAACCCGAATTATTTTTACTAGGCATAATAAAAGGCAAGTGAAGTAAGAAAACTCAATATATCATACTCCACATAATAACGGCGGCTAGGTTCATCTTTGCACAAAATTGGAAACCGGACAACATTCCCACAGAAGGGATGATGATAAAAAAAGGTGCTTGAATGTGCAGAGATGGACAGACTAACGATGGAATTAAAAGATAAGGGAGAAACAGAATATGACATGATTTGGGACACATGGTATGAGTGGTTAGAGAATAGATGTAAAGACTACAGATAAAGGTTACTTAAGAGCGATAGGAATTATATGCAGTATATGTAGATATTTGTGAAAAAGCAAAATATAGATGTAAGAATATTATTATAAGAATAGAATATAAGAGGAAAGGAAGGAAAATGAAAATACTCATATGTAACTATGAGTGATACCGATACTGAACCGCTGTAAAGATTGAAAATGTGGTGTAAATGTTGGAAAATGTGCAATAAAAATTAATAATAATAATAATAATAATAATAATAATAATAATAGAAAATAGAAATAACAATTTGGGATCAAGGAATAAGGGACACTTAAGACCACTCCTTAGTTCAAAGATGCTGCTTTAAAAAAAAAAAAATCTGAGGAATATAACCGACAGACTCAGTGGAATGTATTTGTACCAGCAATTGTATTATTAGTAAGCAAAAATTCCTTTCCTGAGCCTCAAGCGGGTTTAAAGCGGCTTAGATGCAAGAAATTTAGATTTATTGAGAGCAGACATGTCCTGAAACAAACCAATATATCGAGAGAGAGAGAGAGAGAGAGAGAGAGAGAGAGAGATGCTTTATCCTAACAAACAGAAAAAAAAAAAACAAGACTTTTCAAGATTTTCAAGATTGGCCTCCCTTCCGATTTCCCATTCCAATCCTTCCTTGCCAAAAGGAATTAGGTGTTCTCAAAACAGTTGCTGCTTGTTCTGTGAGGTAGCCTAAGCTCCCCCTTGCAAACTTAATTTAACAAGATGGCAAGTTGCTGGGTCATAAATATTTACTACATCCCTTTGTGAACAAGCTAATGGAAAGAAAGTGGATTCTGGCGCAGCCATCAGTAAAATTCTTCCCCCCCTTCTCCAAATTGGGCAAATATTACTACAATACATTATTTTGACTATCTTTTAATGTTCCCCGAGAGAATCTAATATTCCCAGCAATTGGTCCATTCCATCTCCTCCTCAAAAAAAATATATATCCTTTTATCTTCTCTATTTTGAGTCAGATCTATAGTTGGAAAGCGAGTCATGGTTAAAAGGAGGGGAAGTAAAAGTACATCGACAATTGTACTCGATGTCTTTTGAACAAAAATACAACAACAACAAGATTGTCTGCATAAATGGTGTTTTTTTAAAAAAAATTCTACCCTATCTGAGATCTGGAGAGATTTGACTCACTTTGAAAGTCTTTGGTGGTTTTTTTTTTTTTCCCCATTTCAATCTTACCCACCTAGATTCTAAAGTTTGGGGCAACTTGCAAAACACAACTCTTGAAAAGAAGTGTTTAATTGTTGGTTTAAATTGTTCTGCATTATTGTGTGGAGTCCTTGGTGCTTGGTGTTTTCTGGCAGACATTTCATTCCAAGAAACCAGTTATCAAGGACTCCACAATTCAAGCTATTCTCCGCTATTTGGTTGTTGTGTTTCGTACTTCTGGTTTTGGGTGCATGTGTGTGTATATGTGGGTGTGTTTTATTATAAACAGCTAAAGGAAGAGGATAGCAGGCAACGTAGAAAAAGTCAACAGATAAACACTAGATTTTTCAAAACTGGACTGAACTCTAAAGAGGCATGTCGGATTATCCAAACATCAATTGATTTAATAAATAATGGCTCAGAATCCTTAAATCATAAAGTTGGAAGAGTAAAATCTTTCACTGAAGCTGTCAAATCATTCCTGCTACTCAAAAAAAAAAAAAAATATCCCCAAAATATATTTTTCCCTTAAAAACATCCAGCCAAGAAACCCACCTCCCTCTTTCCACTGCCCAGTTTCTCTCAATCTTAAGCAGTTTTTCCCTAACGTTAATTAGATTAATCTGAAATCTGCCTTTTTGTACTTTAATTCCACAAATTGCACGCTGGGAAAGGTTGAAATCATATGAATCCAAAACTTCATATGAATCTTGGAGCCGGCTGAGTTGTAAAGCTTATAAATCATTTATTTTTATTTTTTAAAAAAACAATAATAGTAATAACATTAATTCCCAGAAATGGAAGGAGCAAGCGTCCTTCAAAAGCCTAGTTGGAAAGAAACAGAACTGAAAGAAACATCTCTGAAAGTGGGTGCTTTCCAACCACACACACACACACACACACACACACACACACACACAAAACAAATCATTTGAAATAGTAGTCCTCGACTTACGCCCAACATTTCTGTTGCTAAGTGAGGCAGTTGTTAAGTGGATTTGCCCCATTTTATGAACCCCCCCCTTCTTGCCACAGCTGTGAAGTGAATCAATCACTGCAGTTGCTATGTTAGTAACATGGTTGTTAAAACGAATCCGGCTTCCCCATGGACTTGGCTTGTCCGAAGGTCGCAAAAAGGGGACTCCATGGCAACCGTCATAAATATGAGTCAGTCGCCAAGCGCCTGAATTTTGTTCATGTGACCATTGGGGATGCCGCAATGGTTGTAAGTGTGAGAAACGGTCCCAAGTAGCCTTTTTTCAAAGCTGGTTAACTTTGAACGGCCGTTAAATGAACTCTTGTAAGTTGAGGACTGTATAAAGGGGTTTTTCCCCACCCTTTTATCATATAAGTACCATTTATCTAGGCCCATGCTAGAGACAAACCAGTGATGGGATTCAAAAAATTTTTTGCTGCCGGTTCTGTGGGCGTGGCTCGGTGGGCGTGGCAGGGGAAGGACACTGCAAAATCTCATTTGCTGGTTCTCCGGACTACTCAAAATTTCTGCTACTGGTTCTCCAGAACTGGTTAGAACCTGCTGAATGCCCACCTCTGAGACAGACCTTGATTTCCATCCTTGAGCAATAAAAGTACAATCCATAAAATAAAAAAAACCCACTCAAAACTGTGGCCTAACCACAAGAAATACTAGTAACCCTTTGAAGGCAAAGCTTATGCAGATGGTAGCAACCTTGTGCTTCTTTTAGAGAAATAAATGTGTCCTGATTATTGAGCGGGTAGCGCAAAGCAAAGCTGTGGAAATTTCAATGAAATGCGGCAAACCACCGGTTGGCTAGAGATTTTTTTTTTCCTTTCCTTTTGGTAGCAAAAATTCCCACTTAAAAAACCACCACTGGAAAATAATATTGTAAAAATAAAAATAGAATCAGCTGATTTTGACTCTTCCTTCCTTCCTTCCTTCCTTCCTTCCTTCCTTCCTTCCTTCCTTCCTTCCTTCCTTCCTTTCTGTCTCTCTCTTTCTGTCTGTCTCTTCCTCCATCGTTCTTTCTCTCTCTCTTTCTCCTTCTCTTTCTCCATCTCTCTCTCTTTCTCAGTCTCTCTCTCTCTTTCTCTCTGGGTGTCTCTGTCTCTCTTTATCCATCTCTCCCCCCCCATCTCTGAATTTGTCTCCCATTCTTTGTCTTTCTCTCTCTCTTTCTCCTTCTCTCTTTCTCCATCTCTTTCTCTCTTTCTCCGCCTCTCTTTCTCTCTCTCTCTGGCTGTCTCTGTCTCTCTCCATACCTCTCTCTCTCTCTCTCTCTCTCTCTCTCTCTCTCTCTCTCTGAATTTGTCTCTCATTCTTTGTCTCCCTCTTTCTCCTTCTCTCTGTCTCCATCTCTCTCTGAATTTGTCTCTCGTTCTTTTTCTCTCTCTCTCTTTCTCCATCTCTTGCTCTCTTTCTCCGCCTCTCTTTCTCTCTCCCTCTGGCTGTCTCTGTGTCCCTCCATACCTCTCTCTCTCCCTCTCTCTGAATTTGTTTCTTATTCTTTCTTTCTCTCTCTCTCTCTCTCTCTCTCTCTTTCTCCATCTCTCTCTTTCTCCGTCTCTCTCTCTCTCTTTCTCTCGCTCTGTCTGTCCGTCTGTCCCCCTCCCTCCCTCTGTCTGTCTGACTCTCTTTCATAAGGGGCATCAAGGGCAGAAAGAGACGGGGTTTTGCAAGACGCGGATCCTTCCCCGTCCGCCCTGCCTGACCCACGTCGCACACGAAGGCATTGGTCTCGCCTGCCCACCCCGGTGCTTTTTCTTTTTGCAAATCTGGGAAGTACCGCTCGCCTTCTCCATCGTCTCCCGGCCTCACAAAGGGGAAGAAGGGCCAGCGGTGTGTCAGACCGGAGAACCTCCCCCCCCCCCCCGCAAAGACACTTTCTCCCGTTTTCCCCCCACACCCCGCCAGCGCCCACATCCTGAGTCATCCGCCTTATCCTTTGATATTCCCCCCACCTCCTTTTTTTTGGAGACTGTAATGCTACTTTTTCTGTCTCCGAGCCTCCCGATTGGCTGCGGGCAAGCCGTTCCTTTTTTCCTATTGGCTGGGTGAAGAAAGAGAAAGGGGGGGGGGGGCGTCTCTCTCTCTCTCTCTCCTTCCCTTCGACGGGGAGGGCAGAGCGCGCCCAACCGTGCGGCGCATCGCGCCTATATAAAGGCGAGCCGGGCATCCTTGAGCATCAGCCAAGACCGGAGAACGTGTGAAGCGGAGATTCCCCGACGGGCGGAGAAAAGGTTGCAAGGCGCTGCTCCGAAAGGGGAGATCGACAAGCGAGAAAGCAAGCCAGCCAGCCAGCCAGGCGAGAGTGCAAGGCAAACAAACACACACGCGCACACACACACACATACACGCAGCGCTACGCACCGAAAGGCGTTTCTTGGACCTGGATGGCGTCTACGGGGGTCCAGCTGCTGGGCTTGACCCTGTCCGTGCTGGGCTGGGCAGGGGCGATCCTGGTGGCCGCCCTGCCCATGTGGCAAGTCTCGGCGTTCATCGAGGGTCACCTGGTGGTGGCGCAGACCACCTGGGAAGGCCTCTGGATGGCCTGCGTGGTGCAAAGCACGGGGCAGATGCAGTGCAAAGTCTTCGACTCCATCCTGGCGCTCAGCCCGCAGATCCAAGCCGGCCGGACTCTGATGGTCATCGGGGCGGTGCTGGGACTGGTGGCTTTGCTGGTGACGGTGGCCGGAGCTCAGTGCACCACCTGCTTGCGCGGGGCTAAAGTCAAGGACTGGATCGCGGGCATCGGAGGCGCCCTCTTCCTCGTCTGCGGCTTGCTGGTGCTGGTGCCTCCCTCCTGGTTCGCCAACACCATCATCAGCAACTTCTACGACCCCAACGTGGAGCCGTCCAAGAAGCGAGAGATGGGCGCCGCGCTCTACCTGGGCTGGGCGGCCGCCACGCTTCTCCTGCTGGGCGGCGCGCTCATCTGCGGGGCCTCGGCTTGGAAGGACGAGAGCGGCAGCTTCCCGGTCAAGTATTCGGCCCCACGACGCTCCGCCGCCCCGGTCTCCAACGGAGGAGGAGGAGGAGAGTACGACAAGAAGAACTACGTCTGAGGACAGGCGGCCCCCGGCAGCGCCAGGGATCGGTCCGCTTTAAGGGTTATTATTATATATATATATATTTTTAAAGACCACCATCCACCCGTCCCGGGGCCGAGGGGACGGCTGGGGAAACGTCCGAAGTCGCAGCCGGGAGAAGAGTTGGAGGAGAGGGAATGGTTGGTCCTCGGATGAAAGACCTTCTTCCTCGCTTTTGTGACTTTGGGGGGGTGGGTGGGTTGGAAACTATCTGGGGGAACAACAACAGCAACAACGACCAAGGAAAATTCCCACCCAAGACTGTCCCTTTGGCCTTGACAATTCTTCTTCGCGTGGACTTCGAATTGTACTAGCCCTCATTGAGTCCCTGCGGAGTCCCTTGCTTGGCTCTCTTCAGCTGGGAAGCTCCTGGGGTATTATTCCACCTCTCCCTTTGTAAAAGTTAGTTTTTAGATTATTCCTAAGTATTTTTTTTCAGGGGTTGGGGGGGATCCAAAAATCAGAGGACGTTGCTTGTCTGGGATGGAGGGGGAAAGGGGGGGATACTTATCTTGTAAATAGTAGATGTGATGTTGGGTTTTTTTTTTTTCAGTTTGGGGTGTATTCTGCCGAGATGATCAGAGGGAGTTGTGTTTTTTGAGTAATGTGAAGGTGTGAGAGGTGGGTACTTCTTCAGGGAGTCGTCAGCCCGCCCCAGTTTTTTTATGGGATTTTATCGGGGTGGGGATGTTCTCTTCTGTTTCTAAACTCCTCTTCTTTCCCTATCGCGACTTTTATTGTTATTTTCTTCCTTCTCTCCTTCTCTTCTCTCACCGGGTGAAACAACCCTTGAACAAAATTAGAAATGACTTGGCATTCAGAGCTGCCTATTTTAAATAGCAATTTCTTACTTCGTGGCCGTCATTAGACGGCCGTTTCTTTTACGGTTTCTCCTCTGAAGCAGGTTTTATTCCAAGAAAGAAAGAAAAAAAATATCTGTCTTTTTGGTTGGTCTTCACCAGGTCAATTTCAAAGTTTAAGGGGTTTGCCATCTGTCTGTGTTCCAATGCACTGCCTTGTTTTGAAATGATGTAATTATCATCCTTAATTTATGGGATAGATAACCTGATGAAATTTGGACTGGATGTTTTGTTTCCAAATAACCGTGTCAGTATTGACTTTTTATTTTTTATGCGCCAAATAAAAATCCACAGCGGGATTTTAAAACCCAGCAGAGAACGTTCTGTTTGTCAAAGTTTTTGATTCAGAATTTGCCTCACTTCTCTTTCCCTTTGTAAAACCATCATTTTTTAGTTCCCTTTGGTGGATTCAGAGCAGGGATCATTCTGGTACTGTATTTTTTTTAATTATTATTATTATTGTTTCACACTGTAACTTAAGGAAATTCCTCTTCATCAACAGTGTTCTCAAATCAAAGATCTTGGTATATATTCTATATAACTGCATATTTATAATATACAGTATATGAAATGATGACATGCCTCTTTTTTATGTGTTTAGTGTGGTTATCCGTAAAGAACATGACTTGTTCAGATAGCAAAAAAGAAAAAGAAAAAGTGAACAATATTTTTTCCTCAAGTCTCTTCCTGTTTTTGAAGTATGTATTTTCAATGTTATTTGCTGAACTTTTTTTTAAATGACTTAATTTATTCTTTTTAAAAGCCTTCCATCACTGTAAAGACTAAGACATTTAGCATGATTAACTGGGGAAGAAGAGATTGGCTAAAGACACAGCTGTGAATTGCCAGATAGTGAGGGGAGTGGGAGATATTTTCTTAACCCACCAATGTCTCTTTCCAGATGTTTCCAGCCTGGAGCTAAAAGTATTGGTTTGGTTTCCAAGTTTGCATGGTTGCACAAAGCCATAAGCTCAAACCAGTGAGGAAAAAGCGTAGGATTAACATTTAGCTTTGAATAACTACGGGAAACATATTAGTTCTTCCTTTGCAGAAATAATTGTTCTTGTGCATTTCTGCTCTCTATTCCTCTCTGGGTCTTGCAGTTCCCTTCTTTTAATTAGACAGCCTATTACAGCAAAATATTATCACATCCGAGCACCTTAAAGATTGCTGGTAGTCTTTGACGTACTTCCACAATGGAGCCCAACATTTCAGTTGTTAAATGAGACATTTGCGAAGTGAATTTTGCCCTTTACGACCTTCCTTGCCTTGGTGGTTAAGTGAACCACTGCCGTTGACTAGTCACACGGTCGTTAAGTGAATCTGGCTTCCCCGTGGACTTTGCTGGTCAGGAGGATGCAAAAGGGAACACTGCAACTGTTGTAAGTGTGAACCGGTTGCCAAGCGTCTGAATTTTGATTAGCATGGGACCGCTGCAACGGTCAAAACTGTGAAAAACGGTCATCAGTCACTTTTTGCAGTGCTGTTGTAACTTGGAACGGTCACTAAATGAACCGTTGTAAATTGAGGACTAGCTGTACAGATAATCTTCGGCTCAGCACCACGATTGAGACCCCAGAATTTTGTATCTAAGCAAGGCAGTTGTTAAAATGAATCGGGGCCAACTTTACAAACTTTTCTTCTTTTTTTCGCCCTGGCGATAAAGCAAATTGTTGTTAAGCGAATCATGTGGTCGCTAAGCAGATCTGGCTTCTCCCAAAGACTTTGCTTATCGGAAGCCAGTTGGGAAAGTCACATGACCGTGGAAGGTTGCAATTGTCCCGAATAAATGCCGATTGCGCAAGGCCTAGATTTTGAGCCTGTGATCCTGGAGATGCTACGACGGTCAGAAATGCAAGGACCAGTTGTCACTCTTTTCCAGCGGCATTTGAATGGTTGCTATACTAGGGGTTGTAAGTCCTGCAATGTTTGCAGGAGCTGGTGTTTGTAGGAACGTGGCTAAACCTTTCCTGCGGCATCAAATTTTTGAATACAGATAAAAATCAAGATCAGACCCTCAGAGGTCAGGCAAAGCAAGATACAATCCCCAACGCCACCACGGTTTGTTAAACTTGGTTCCATTGGTCTGCATCATCACCAGGGCAACGTAGACTGAGATGCAGAAAACGACAATATCCAAGCTGGTGATGGCGATCGGGAATCTTCAGATAGAGAGAAGGAACAAGGAAGGAAATGAGTGGTTTGGCAAAACTGCCTACACAGGAGTCCCAGAAATAGTAAATGGGATGATGGAGTTGAGAGCTAGGTTGCCTTTAGTTGGATCTGAGAACCTCAAGGTACTAAATCTGTCTTGGCTGGAAGCCGAGTAGAGAGCACAGGGCTGAGTGCGGAAAATGGTTTGCATTGGTGCAAAGCAGCAACAGGTTAAAAAAAGAGAAAGAAAATAACCAAAGTTTTATAAAGCAGGACAACTGGATAAAAGTCCAGAAAACACACTAACCTTCTATTAGTACGATCTCTGTGGATTAAGACAGGGTGTGTTTGGGGATCTCAAGAAGTTACTGTTCCTATCTCAAGCCCTGTTGGAACAAACTTATAACTCAGAATAACCTTCAACATTCAATTGGGAGTATATAACCCCAGGCTAGAATATTTGGAACCGAAGCAGGTGAGTTAAGGCTGGAAATCTTTGGGGAAGTGGGATCCAGGTTGTTTTCGACATAGCGAAAAGAGGAAGAAAAAGGACAAGGATGAAAGAGAGAGGAAAGAAAGCGTACATGGACAAATTGAACAAGATTGTGTTTTGAAAGAAGCTTGTTAGGTTAAGGAGACATCAACCTTTCCAAATTGGTGCTATCTATAGGCGTTGCTTATCACTCTGAGCTCATCTGGAAGGTGTCAGTAAGGGAAGGTTGTATTTCGAACCTACTGTGATGAAAAGCAAAGTTTTATTTATTTGTTGCGCCTTTATTATATTTACAAATAAGTCAAGGTGGCGGACGTATCCAACAGACCTTCCTCCTCCTATTTTCTCCACCACAACCACCCTGTGAGGCGAGTTGATTAACAGAGTGACTGGCCCAAAGTCACCCAGTTGGCTTTCAGGCCTGAGGTGGAACTAGAACTCACAGCCTCCCGGGGGATTGGCCCAAAAGTCACTCAGCTGGCTTTCACGCCTAAGGTGAGACTTGAACTCACGGTCCCCTGCTTTCTAGCCAGGTACCTTAACTACTCTAGAATGCCAAAGCTGTGTTCTGGCACCGGGACTTGAGGGGAGGGACCAAGAGAAAATCGCAGTCCTCAATTTACAATTTTCTCCTGCTGCCCCTCAAGTCCCAATGCCAGAACACAGCTTTGAGATTCTGGGATTGGTCTAGTGGTTAAGGCACCAGACCTAGAAGTTCTAGTTCTGTCTTATGCATGAAAACTGGCAGGGTGACTTTGGGCCAATCGCCAGGAGAGGGTGAGTTCTAGTTCCCACTTTAGGCCGGAGAGCTAGCTGGGTGACTTTGGGCCAGTCCCTCTCTCTCTCAGCCCAAACCATCTCTACCCCTCTCCACTCCCTACTACACACACTCTCTCTCTCTCTCTCACACACACATTATACCCTTCTGTGAAGTAGCGGAAGATGGTGATTACATAGTGATTTTCTAGCCACACAAGGGGTCTGATCAGATACTTGTTCTATCAGAAGAGGTATCTTGTATGGGAGTTAAATGCATTTACAAGTGAGGGCTTGATGGAGGTTATTTACTTATTTATGGCAACAAAAGCTTTTTTCAGGAAAGAAATACACTCAAAGCCCAACTTGCAGCAATCCTGACAAGAGTCTTCGTGTGAGGAACCAGCCCAGTTTGAGGCTTGAATGGCCTACAACATGCTTTCCGTCCATCTAGTTCAAGGCTTGACTTCCCATTTGGAAGTTGCTTTTAAACTTCCAAATGGGAAGTTTTTGTTTTTAAAACAAAAACAGATTTCATGAATGAAGGTGGATCTACGTGTCCCAGGATAAATTAATTGTAGGATCCAATCTGAGTCGGTCACTGGAACTAAAAGTTTTGTCTTCCGAGCTTTCGTAGCCCATCCTCAGGGAACTTGTCTCTAAGATGGACCCCAACACAGATTGGACCCTGCAAAAATAGATTTATTTTTAGAGTTAATCGCAATTCCTTGCTTTCACTCTCGTGACAGGCGGTTTCCGTCTCTAAGCTGACCTAGGGGGTTTTCTTACAGGTTATTTTCAGTTGCTTTTCCTTTTCAATCAAGCATTCAATAATTAAGGGTTAAGTTAACCATGAAAGGGTTTAACTGTACCCTCCAGATAGCCTAGCAAATCCAGCTCAAACCTGCCTGTTCTATGACCAGGAAATGCAGCAGTCACCAGGCAAAGGAAAAAGGAAATTGTAGGTCATTTTTTTCAACAGAATGTTTAGGACAGCATTTCCCCTTCCGTTATATCGTAATGCTGATGTATTTGCCATTCCTCAACTGGGGGCCCTTTGTTTTCCTAGAATACAGCAATGTAAAGAATTGGATGGGGAGTTTTCCATATCACCTAACAGGAATCAAAGGAACTTGTAATGCTACGATAAGCACGTCTATCCATAGGATAATATAGGCTGGCTTTTCAAGGCAATTATGACCCAGATTTTAGCAGACTGTGGCCCTTTCTGAAGATGTCCAAAGAATTGAGTGGCATCAAATTGTTGTTGACTCTTAGTGAGCACATAGATTTTCACCCTTATTTTATACTGATGTATAGGAAGGAAGGAAGGAAGGAAGGAAGGAAGGAAGGAAGGAAGGAAGGAAGGAAGGAAGGAAGGAAGGAAGGAAGGAAAAATGAAAGAAGGAAGGAAGGAAGGAAGGAAGGAAGGAAGGAAGGAAGGAAGGAAGGAAGGAAGGAAAATAACATAGAGACAGAAAGACAGACAGACAGAAAGAAAAAGATGGGAAGGAAGAAGTCAGAGAGAACAAAAGAAAGAAAGAGAGGGAGAGAGAGACAGAAATAAAGAAGAAAGAAAGGAGATGGGAAGGGAAGAGAAGAAGAAGAAGTGAAAGAAAGAAGAACAGAGAGAGAGAAAGAGGGAAAGAAAGAAAGATAGATAGAGACAGATAGACAGACAGAAGAAAGAAAGGAGATGGGAAGGGAAGAGAAGGAGAAGTCAGAGAGAAAGAACAGAAAGAAAGAAAGACAAAGACAGACAGAAAGAAAGAAGAAAGAAA